TATAACTTTTTTTTAAAATTATTATTATTAATTTAAAAAAAAAATAATAAATTAAAAAAAATCACACACACACACATCACCCCCAGACACACACATCACCCCCAGACACACACATCACCCCCAGACACACACAGCACCCCAAGACACACACATCACCCCAGACACACACAGCACCCCCAGACACACACAGCACACCCAGACACACACAGCACACTCAGGCACACAGCACCCTCACTCACACACAGCACCCTCAGACAGACAGCACCCCCCAGACACACACAGCACCCCTAGATATACACACATCACCTAGACACACACATCACCTCCAGACATACACACAGCACCCCAGACATACACATACAGTACCTAGACACACACAGCACCCTAGACACACATTGTGCACTCCCAGACACACATAGCACCCCTCTAGACACACACAGTACCTAGACACACACAGCACCTAGACACACACAGCGCACCCAGACACACACAGCACCCCCAAATACACATCACCCCCAGACACACACATCACCCCCAGACACACAGCACCCCCAGACACACAGCACCCAGACACACACAGCACCCTCGCTCACATACACACACACACACACACACACACACATATATATATATATATATATATATATATATATATATATATATATATATATATTTACAGATATATATATATATATATATATTTACAGATATATATATATATTTACAGATATATATATATAATATATAAAATAACCCTCAGTGAGTTAACAGACAAAGAAAATTAGAATGTGACGGCAGATAAAAACACCCTCACACACAGCACCCCTCTTACATACACACACACACTGCGCCCCTCACACATACAATACGTCCAAATATATATATGTATGTATATATATATATACACACACACACACACACACACTACAGCACTACATACATTACGCTCCAGATACACGCTAGATCCCTTACCTTATATGCACTCTTAATCCTCTATACACACACACACATCTCCTATACACACTCTGGGTCCTTTACACACTAGATCTCCTACACACACACTGCACCACCTACACACACACTACATTCCTTGTCAGCAAACACATACAACATTCTCTAAACACACCCTCTCTACAACCCCTACACACACTACGTCACCTATACACACACACTACAGCCCGTATGCACACACTCGCTACATCCCCTATAACACTATGCCACCTATACACACACTCTCTACAGCCCCTAGCCACACATATTACACCACAAACACATATGAAATTGACCTATTTACACAATACCACACCACACTCTACACACACGCAATCCCACAAGCAGGCTCCAAACACATGCACCATACACTTTCCTGGCCCTTTTGTCCTCTGGTATCCCACTTGTTGAGACACCAGAGACAATTTAAAAGCAAACACAGCGCAAGCATGTTATTAAATTTGCTTGCGCTGCGCAGAACAAATACAGGGCCTTTTTCTAATGCCAGAGCTCTTCAGCGCAGCTCTGCGCATTGAACCAACATTCTCACTTTGAGAGGAGGCGTGCTTGTCATTAGTGATGACAAAACACACCCTCTCTGGCCCCGCCCCCTTCTTAGGGGGCCGCTCTGATTGAAAAATGCCCGGGCCTAATTTTTTCCCCAGTCCGGCCCTGCTCATACACTTACTATAACCCACCTTCCCACACCATGCTCACACACTACCACCCACCTTCCCTACTTTACAGTATCACACACACAGTCTACTGCTGGCCACTTTAGACACTGTTTTCTTATTTGTCATAAAAAAAGGAAGATATCTCAGTGCTCCCAATTTTACTATTAGATTCTATGTTTATCCCTCCCAACCTGTACATCATAGATTTCCATTTATGCATTGTAAATAACGTAGAATGACATTTTTATATATCTATATTTATGTGGCAAACCTAGCCACTTGTAATATTCTGGACTATGTGCATAAAAAGGTTTTCTGTACTAATCCCTGTAACTTCTTGTATAACCTGGATTTACACTGTGTGCTACTGTATGTTTGCATAGAATTCGTATGCTAGCAGCCGAAAGCCGCTAGCATTCATGTGTTTCGTTTCACAAACAGCAACCTTACGGGCTGTTCATGAACCGAATGAGCTACCCCCTAATAGCCCACACATAGAGGGACGTGTGGCGCTCATTAACTGATTGCAACAATGTTGTAATTGGAGGCTTTCCTAGGTGGCCGTCGTTCGGCTACCGACCACGCGGCGGTCGGTCATCTTGGATCCTTTGTCTCACCAGCGGGGTTTGGTTGTCGAGTGCGTGGAGCCGAAATCGGCTACTCAACGGTGCGAACCCCGCTGGACTTCCAGGCCGTTCGGGAGCTCCAGTATTTCCCTATTACAGTTCCCCATCGGTGTTCGGTACTTTCAGACGAACTCATGGGCAAAGTGTATTTCGTGCGGCGTTCGGTTGTTTTAGCTGGGATCTGAACGGTATTCTCACGAAAGGTGCGCTCAGACCCCAGCTATCTACCGAACGTCCATTCGTTTAAATCACTCAAGTATTATAAAAGTTATACATTTTAATGTGAAATGTCGGTTCTGCTGCACGGAGGGATAATCCACTTAACGGTATATTTCAGTGGGAGTAACCCTCTCGTCCAGCAGTGCCTGATGGGAGAAAAGGTCTGAATGTTAAGTCCCCCATGTAGTCCCCTACTGTACAACCCCTGCCATGTCAGTAAGGAAACCCCTTGCATGGGGACTTGCATAAATACTGGAGCTGTGAATAAAAACCTCAGTTGACTCCCAGAACTGTGTTTCGTCCGGTTACTGGGGGATTTGGGATATTGCCTTACTTTTCAGCGCTTGACTGTGGATTACCTTCTTTACCAGCGGAGATCGTGGGATTTAATATTGCCGCTCCGCTACAATTTATATATTACCTGTGGATTTTTATAGTGCATGTATTCTGCAAACTGTGATTATTCCTACAGCTGAAACTGGTATTTGGGAAGGTGCAGGATTTTAATATAATAATAAGACTAAAGATTTCTGATGGCCGTCCGGTCTGCAGGACCTTTCTGTGTGGCTGAATCTAGTCTATTCACTAATCATGAACCGCCATCCGTCAAGCATGGGTTAACACGCATGGCGATACTGTGCGGTTACGGAAAAGGGATTAAAGAAGAGTCTGATAAAACAGTCTAGAATATAGAGTTTCAGTTTTCAGTGGAAAGATTCCAATTGCTTTATCGTAATGTTTTGTTTGGAAGTCATAGATTCCAGTGGTTTCACATTCCAACTCCCATCCGGTCATCCAGCCAGCTGCTTTTTGCTCTCAAACCCTTTATTTTATGAGCGCAGTCAGCCCTATTATTTCCAATTAATGGGGATCATTCATTGAACTGTGAATTGTGGAGAATTGAGAAAACAATTGCAAATGTTTTGCAAAAATAACAAAACTGTTAAAGGGTTGGAGATTGTTTTCTAGTTCTGCTATTTCAGACAAAAATGTGCAATTTGATTCAGATCGTGATTGGTCACAACTCAAGGCATATGGGATAAAGTTGATCCCTATTGGAAAGAGGTAGAAACATCCCACAATACAATGCTTCAGCTTTCTCCAGCCTCACCAGCCCGGCCTCTAGAATCCTCAGTCCTACATACAACCAATCGGAGGAGGAGCAAAAGCAAAAAGATACAACACAGTGAGCAGGGCGGTGGAAGCACGAGTGAAGGCTCCAGCATCCAGTGCAAGGCGGGGCCTCGTGGGCCGTTACCATCCACAAGGAAATGGAGTTGTTGGGTTAAGACGTTAATTTTGTTGTTTTTTTTTCTTTGGATGGTGAGTCCATGAATCATAACATGTGGGATCTTAGTCCTAAACATATCAGGACACAAGGCCACAAATCTAGGGAATGTATAGATGGTGGGTGACTAATTAGGAATAACGTCTTGACGGAATCCGCATCAACGGATACAAAAAAATAAAAATTATAATATGTGCGCAAGGAGGACCAAGTGGCTGCCTCACACATTTGGGTTTTGTTCATGGAAGCCCACGAGGTAGCCACTACCTGTCTGGATAATGGACTTGAGCCAGTTGTATAAAGTGAGAGCTAAAGATTTTGACTCAAACGGTGTCCAGAAAAATTAATAAGAAGGAAACACTTCCGAAAGGGACTATGGCCGCAACATAATACACTGAACAAGGTCTTTATGACTTTATTGGAAAAACCCCAGGAACTCAAAACTATCCGTTCACTTCCCATGCCACTAGCGGCAGAGTCAGTATGTCCAGCCGTTTGACAAAGCCCTGTGGGTGGGGCGAAATGCATTACGGACCCGGAACCAAGAAGTGATTTGGAGACAGTCGGCAACAGCAACCAGGACAGCAGCCGGAAGATTTTTTTTACATTACATAAGTATATGGAACTTTCTTTGCGGTTTCCTGAGGCTGGTGAGCGGACTAACTAACTCCACAACAAGTTTTGCTGTTTTTTAATTGTTATTAATAAAGTATACTTACCTGAGATCCAGATTGCAAGCTTCCTTTCCACGGATCCCACGCACTCTAGGGGCTGATCCTCCCTGAGTGCTATAGCAACGAGTGGTGCTTTTACCACTCCAATCTTGTGAGTGTAACACCTAAAGGGCACCTCTGTTTGCTTTATTTTATTTATAAGCGAATTACTACGCTGCACTAGGAGCTCTCTTTCTGTTTTTGTCTCCTTAATAGGTGTCAGAGTGATTTCCATGTTTGCAAGTATACCTACAGATTGTGCTTTGTTTTACCACAACCACTGTTAGGTTTTAAAGTATTTATAATATTTCCACTCTGTGAACACCTCATTTTATGTACACAGGGTTACTTTCACTCTCTATAAGAGGTCCATAGTGAATACGATTTTTATTTCTCTGTTGTTGCGCACCATCACTACTGTAAGTATGTCTGGATAGATGAGGGGATCTTGGAGAAGAGGGTCCTGCCACAGAGTCAGTATGTCTGGATGGAGACAGGGATCTTGGAGAAGAGGGTCCTGCCACAGAGTCAGTATGTCTGGATGGAGGCGGGGATCTTGGAGAAGAGGGTCCTGCCACCGAATCAGTATGTCTGGATGGAGCCAGGTATCTTGGAGAAGAGGATCCTGCCACAGAGTCAGTATGTCTGGATGGAGACAGGGATCTTGGAGAAGAGGATCCTGCCACAGAGTCAGTATGTCTTGATGGAGACAGGGATCTTGGAGAAGAGGATCCTGCCACAGAGTCAGTATGTCTGGATGGAGGCGGGGATCTTGGAGAAGAGGGTCCTGCCACAGAGTCAGTATGTCTTGATGGAGGCGGGGATCTTGGAGAAGAGGGTCCTGCCACAGAGTCAGTATGTCTGGATGGAGACGGGGATCTTGGAGAAGAGGACCCTGCCACAGAGTCAGTATGTCTTGATGGATGCGGGGATCTTGGAGAAGAGGGTCCTGCAACAGAGTCAGTATGTCTGGATGGAGACGGGGATCTTGGAGAAAAGGGTCCTGCCACAGAGTCAGTATGTCTGGATGGATGCGGGGATCTTGGAGAAAAGGGTCCTGCCACAGAGTCAGTATGTCTGGATGGATGCAGGGATCTTGGAGAAGAGGGTCCTGCCACAAAGTCAGTATGTCTGGAAGGAGATGGGGATCTTGGAGAAGAGGGTCCTGGCACAGAGTCAGTATGTCTGGAAGGAGACGGGGATCTTGGAGAAGAGGGTCCTGGCACAGAGTCAATATGTCTGGATAGATGAGGGGATCTTGGAGAAGAGGGTCCTGCCACAGAGTCGGTATGTCTGGATGGAGACAGGGATCTTGGAGAAAAGGGTCCTGCCACAGAGTAAGTATGTCTTGATGGATGCGGGGATCTTGGAGAAGAGGGTCCTGCCACAGAATCAGTATGTCTGGATGGAGACAGGGATCTTGGAGAAGAGGATCCTGCCACAGAGTCAGTATGTCTTGATGGAGACAGGGATCTTGGAGAAGAGGATCCTGCCACAGAGTCAGTATGTCTGGATGGAGGCGGGGATCTTGGAGAAGAGGGTCCTGCCACAGAGTCAGTATGTCTTGATGGAGGCGGGGATCTTGGAGAAGAGGGTCCTGCCACAGAGTCAGTATGTCTGGATGGAGACTGGGATCTTGGAGAAGAGGACCCTGCCACAGAGTCAGTATGTCTGGATGGATGCGGGGATCTTGGAGAAAAGGGTCCTGCCACAGAGTCAGTATGTCTTGATGGATGCGGGGATCTTGGAGAAGAGGGTCCTGCAACAGAGTCAGTATGTCTGGATGGAGACGGGGATCTTGGAGAAAAGGGTCCTGCCACAGAGTCAGTATGTCTGGATGGATGCGGGGATCTTGGAGAAAAGGGTCCTGCCACAGAGTCAGTATGTCTGGATGGATGCAGGGATCTTGGAGAAGAGGGTCCTGCCACAGAGTCAGTATGTCTGGATGGATGCAGGGATCTTGGAGAAGAGGGTCCTGCCACAGAGTCAGTATGTCTGGAAGGAGACGGGGATCTTGGAGAAGAGGGTCCTGGCACAGAGTCAGTATGTCTGGAAGGAGACGGGGATCTTGGAGAAGAGGGTCCTGGCACAGAGTCAGTATGTCTGGATGGAGACGGGGATCTTGGAGAAGAGGGTTCTGCCACATAGTAGGTGTCAATGGCCATCTCTACCACCGTTGCATCCTGCTTAGTCACCATAAGCAAATAAGAACAAAAAGATTAGGTGGCGATTCCATGTCTATTCTCTGCTGTAATTACCTCTTAGAATAAGGAAACAATATTCTGTGTGACTTTTATTGGGGAACACTAAACACTTTGAACATTTGTTCTGTTGTTTTGGCTTATCTTTTACGTGTAAAATGCATGTATGTACGTAGTGGGCATTGGATGGGATGACCTTTTACCAAACCATAGCTTCCCCCCAAATAAAGACAGACACCGAATCTTGAAACACAAATACTGCACAACTCCTTCAACGTATAACTTTACATAATATTCTCATAAATAAATAACATGTAAATACCTGCATGATGTCATACAGTACTTGACCAACACATCCTTGCCAATCTCATTCCTTCTTCCCAAAGGCTCTCACCTCCTCCCTCAGCATAATAAACTCCTCTTGCCTTTTTGGCACTCCACCTTTTAGCTCGGTGGGGCCCGACCATAATGCTCCCCACCAGCTGGCTTTAGCTCGGTGGGGACACGTCCAACTTGGTACCCCTTAAGGTTAATCAAAGAGACAGGGGAGGATGAGACCCGACCATTACCCCCCACCTACATCTAACCAGCAAAAAAACCACCACCCCTTACTTGGCAAGGATACCCCCCCCCCCCCTGTGACAACACCCCAGGGCCCAAAAAACAAAAGGGAGGGTGGGTGGGAAACTTGTTGCTGGCCCGGCTCCTAAGTGGCACTGAGGTCAGTCCCAATTGTCACCACCCACTTCCTCTCATTCCACACTCCCCCAACATAAACACAGCCCATCCTGTTTCATCCATTCCCACACTCATACATGTGCCCTTGTCCGCTAAGCTGTGCACGCTCCCCGGGGCCTGAAATCCAGGCAGTGCAGTGACACTTCCCCCAATTCAGGACAACCCTGTGTTCTACTTGTGTCCCTGTGTTGGGGACATGATCTGTAATAATTACTCTGCATGATTTGATGCTGCACCCGCATGGGAAATGAACGTGTTCTAGAATAGTTTCCAGTACGGCCAAAGAGACTTCATTACGTTGCGTCCGCTAGGCCCAGTAGAAAGAGTTGTTAGTTCGATTTTCTGGACCCATTGGAGCAGTGTTTCCTAACCCAGTCCTCAGTGACCATCAACAGTGAAGGATTTATGTATTTCCCTGTTTCAATCCAATGGAGATACTGACAAAACCTGGACTGTTGGTGGTCCATGAGGACTGGGTTGGGGAACACTACATTGGAGCGATCATACAGCGGGGTCACCCTTTAAAGTCATTTTGTTAACCACGTTAGAGAGACATGGCGAGCACATTTTGTCCAATCCAGCCCTGGAATATGTATTCTGTAAATGAACAACAGATTAAACTGGCCATGTGGCTGCCCCATCAGCTTGTAGATAAACAGCCAGTTTGAATATCAGGAGAAAAGTCTGACGGACGTTTGAGAAGCTCTAACTGCGCCGGTAAATGTTGATTTATTGATGACAGAAATCAGAGGAAAGCAGAAAAGTCTTATTGATTTATCAGGCAGAAAAAGTGTATTTAATTGATGTTTGTAGCTTGCAAAATGTGACAAATTACAGTGTGTCAATATTAACCCATGACAGGGCTTGCAGTTACACAAAGAATCACATTACACCTCGCTGGCACTCAGAGTTAACAGCCAGGATTCCGGTAATGGAAATGCTGGGATGCTCAAAGAGGATCCATGGGATAATATCAGGGTGATCAGTAAGGAGGAACTTTATATTCAGCATTCTAACCACATTACTGAAACCATTACACAGCACTTTACATTCAGCATTCTAACCACATTACTGAAACCGTTACACCGCACTTTATATTCAGCATTCTAACCACATTACTGAAACCATTACACCGCACTTTACATTCAGCATTCTAACCACATTACGGAAACCATTACACCGCGCTTTACATTCAGCATTCTAATAACATCACTGACACCATTACACAGCGCTTTACATTCAGCATTCTAACCACATTACTGAAACCATTACACCGCACTTTATATTCAGCATTCTAACCACATTACTGAAACCATTACACCGCGCTTTACATTCAGCATTCTAACCACATTACTGAAACCATTACACAGCACTTTATATTCAGCATTCTAACCACATTACTGAAACCATTACACAGCACTTTATATTCAGCATTCTAATCACATTACTGAAACCATTACACAGCACTTTATATTCAGCATTCTAACCACATTACTGAAACCATTACACAGCACTTTACATTCAGCATTCTAACCACATTACTGAAACCATTACACAGCGCTTTACATTCAGCATTATAAGTACATTACTGACACCATTACACCGCGCTTTACATTCAGCATTCTAAGTACATTACTGACATTACACCACACTTTATATTCAGCATTCTAACTACATTACTGACACCATTACACCGCGCTTTACATTCAGCATTCTAACCACATTACTGAAACCATTACATTCAGCATTCTAACCACATTACTGAAACCATTACACAGCACTTTACATTCAGCATTCTAACCACATTACTGAAACCATTACACAGCGCTTTACATTCAGCATTCTAACCACATTACTGACACCATTACACCGTGCTTTACATTCAGCATTATAAGTACATTACTGACACCATTACACCGCGCTTTACATTCAGCATTCTAAGTACATTACTGACATTACACCGCACTTTATATTCAGCATTCTAACTACATTACTGACACCATTACACCGCGCTTTACATTCAGCATTCTAACTACATTACTGACACCATTACACTGCGCTTTACATTCAGCATTCTAACCACATTACTGACACCATTACACTGCGCTTTACATTCAGCATTCTAACCACATTACTGACACCATTACACTGCGCTTTACATTCAGCATTCTAACCACATTACTGACACCATCACACCGCGTTTTACATTCAGCATTCTAACCACATTACTGACACCATTACACTGCGCTTTACATTCAGCATTCTAACCACATTACTGAAACCATTACACAGCACTTTACATTCAGCATTCTAACCACATTACTGACACCATTACACCGCGCTTTACATTCAGCATTGTAACCACTACACCGCGCTTTACATTCAGCATTCTAACCACATTACTGAAACCATTACACCGCGCTTTACATTCAGCATTCTAACCACATTACTGAAACCATTACACAGCACTTTACATTCAGCATTTTAACCACATTACTGACGTCATTACACCGCACTTTACATTCAGCATTCTAACTACATTACTGACACCATTACACCGCGCTTTATATTCAGCATTCTAACCACATTACTGACACCATTACACAGTGCTTTATATTCAGCATTCTAACTACATTACTGACACCATTACACCGCGCTTTACATTCAGCATTCTAACCACATTACTGACACCATTACACCGCGCTTTACATTCAGGGTCTGCTTGTGTCTGAGTTACATGAAGCAAACAGCAATTTGCTAAAATCAACAGTTATTCACTAAAGTGAGAATTGTCGGGAATTTAAAGGGAACTTTAAATGTAAGACCAAAATAGCCGACCTGGAAAAATGATCTCCAAGTCAGCTGTGCTTCAGTTTGGCTGCTTTGGCCTTTAGTTTCATCTGTTACGATGGTTGCGGCGGTAATAATTTGGTGGTATAAGCTCTGAATATCTGAGCCAATTCATCTGCTTGAAAGCGTTCACGGAAGAATCTGCAAAACCTGATAAAATGCAGCAAATGCAGGAACGTAAGAGACTTTTAATATTTTATTTTCAAACAGCTGATTCCCATAATGCAGCCTGGCCTAGATTCTCCAGGCTTGGCTTGCATTTAAATGCCTTGTACGAGGTTTGGAATGGAATATGAGGATATTGTGAAGGTGTTAAGAGGTTTATTAGCATCCAAATAGGATTAATCAGCAGCCCGTACTCCAGGCTGGCTGCTATGGGAGCCCGATACGGCCCTTTTACAGAATTTGCTTAAACCAATTTCCTGGTCAGATATCGCTGCACGGTTTGCAAACAATCTGCGTTCGTTAATGAGAAGGTCTCGCACTCATCACAAAAAGCGATGAAAAAGCAAATAGGAAATCTCACCCGGAGTCTTCCTATTTGTAGAACTACTTTTAGTCAGCCGCATCTGCAGAGCTTAATTTATCAAGAAAGAATTTAACCCCACTCACGCTGCACTTTATTCACTAAATGGTCAGTGGGGAACTGAACTGCAAAATATAGGACAGGACAGAAATGTTCCCAGCCTGGCTGTACTGGCTAAAATTCACCTAATAAGTGATTTAACCACATTAACAGTCCGATAAGAGTAAGGTAACGGACAACACAGCGTCTAATTTCCTTTTAAAGGGTATTATTGCCTTAACTGTTGCAGAGTAAGTTGTATTAATCGGAGAACAGTGAATAACTCATTGTTCCATGATGGGATATGCTAATTAAACAGTGAACTACGTTGGAGAGATCATCCAAATCCGCTCTTTGCTTAAATGATGCAATTCATTTTCAGTTCACTATAATTTGATGTATTGTTAAGTGTTAGGAAGTCAAAATGAATAAAAAATGTTAGGCTAAAATAGCCGATTGTAAAACCCTTGTAAAATCAGCTATTTATAGTTCGGCAAATTTGGACTAAAATGTGAAATTGACTTTTAATTAAATAACTTTGGCGAAAACTTCTGTCAATTTATACAACAGACGATTAAAAGATATACTGATCTGAAAACATCACCTGTCTAAAGCCAAGTGACACATGTGGAATGGTACAAGGCACAGAGCTGATCGACTCCTCGTATCCAAGTCTATCTCTATATGTACATTTTACAGAATCTGTAAAGATTGTATTGAACAATCAATACTTTGAACAGCTTCTTTAAGGAACACTATAGTCACCTAAATTACTTTAGCTAAATAAAGCAGTTTTAGTGTATAGATCATTCCCCTGCAATTTCACTGTTCAATTCA